TTCATATTATTGTAATTTATTAATTTCTATATCTTCTCAACACAAAACTTGAAGCAATTTTACTATACATATAAACGAATATACAACGATTTAAATATATCTAAAATCTAAATTCAAAAATGAAATTTCTAATATAAATATAAAAATTATAGCATATTTAGTGAAATCTTACAGAGCTTTAAATAAATGTATACCAAAAATACTTTCTATACATCTATACAAATTTATGTAATGTCAAAATAACAGCTTTTTACTAAATGCATATGAAAGTATATACGATACTCATAACAAAAACTAAATTTTTAAAATTTTTGTCTGTCTATCTGTCTGTCTGTCTATTTGTTCCGGCTAATCTCCGAAACGGCTGGACCAATTTCGACGGGACTGTCACCGGCCGATAGCTGATGTCATAAGGAGTAACTTAGGCTACTTTTATCTTAGAAAAATAATTAGGGTTCCGCGCAAAAAAATTAAAACCATAAATTACACGCGGGCGAAGTCGCGGGAAGCAGCTAGTTAACAATAAAATACGCACCAAAGAAGAATTATATATAATTATATTAGAAACAGTAGGATTAAAACCATCGCGTCATTATAAAAGATTTTTAAAACTATTCGTTTCCAATACCAAAAATAAAAATGTTAAATATGACTATAAACAGTATTGTAAAATATTAAAAAAGCCATTAATATATCCAAAGAATTATGTAACAAATATAGATTATGTGGCAGATGTATAAGTAACGAAACAAACAAAAATACAAAAAAATATAGTAATGTGCAACTCAAAAAACCAGATAAACATTTATTATTTGATCCTAAAATAGTAGCGAACTCATTTAATACTTTTTTTTTACATCTATTGGAAATATACGCTCAAATTACAGTAATTTAAATAGAACATCTTTAGCAAAAACTATCATAAATACTCTCTTCCTAAGCCCAGTAGAAACTAATGAAATAGCAATAGCATAATCAAAATTCTCAAAAATAAATCATCCTTCGGTATTGATGAAATTCTGACTCTTCTATTTTGATAAAAAGTTGTGCTGATTTTTTTTACAATCCTCTTTTCAATCAAATCAAAAAAACAATCTTTGAAGGTGTCTTCCCAAATGCCCTCAAAATATCCCTAATCAAACCCGTGCATAAAAAGGGTGTACTTACTGGCATAAATAATTATCGACCTATGGCTCTGTTACAGACCTACGTCGGTTAAAATATTTGAGTCGGCCATAGCAAAACGTCTTTGTTCATTATAAGAAAAATTTAAAATTTTACGTAAAAAGCAAAATGGCTTTTGAAAAGACCACTCTACCACCTTAGCAATTTATAAATACGTAAAAAAAAACGTCCTTGACGAAATCGACAACAAGACTCAGTTCCTCCCCATTTAAAATTCCATTCGTATTTTATTGTTTGACATTTGGAGTCATGCATTTCATACATTTTGTTTTAGTGCCATTTAAATGCAAATTATTAACATTGAACCAATTTACTAATTTAGATATAGCATTATTTACTTCGTCATATTTTATTAATTGTCTTTTTAATTTAAAAATTAAAGAAGTGTCATCAGCAAATAACACTATATCATGGTTATCCCCTACTATGTAAGGTAAGTCATTAATGTATACAAGAAACAGAAAGAGACCGAGAATTACAAGAAACAGAAAAGCCTTGAGGCACGCTCATTTGTACCATCGACCCGGAAGAGCTCATACTGTTAATGACAATTTTTTTGCGTTCTGTTACTTAAATATTAAATAATTAATTTAAAAGCATCCCTTCTTACATCGTAGTGTTGAAGTTTCCTGATTAATGTTTCATCGTGAACACAATCGAAGGCCTTGGATAGGTCACAGAATATACACCTAAAGCATCCTGTGAATTCTCCCATGCATTAAAGATATATTTAATCAGCTCAACACCGGCATCAGTTGTTGAGCGACCCCTTGTGAAACCAAATTGATTTAAAAAAATTAATCAAGCATATTTTTTTCAAGAATCTTACTAAGTGTTGGTAGTACCGAATAAAGTCTAAAATTGGCGGGGTTTAATGTACTTCCAGATTTAAATAAAGGTATTACTTTACTATGCTTCATTAAATCAGGAAACACACCAGATTCGATATTAGTATTAAAAATAATAGCTAGTTGAGGTGCGTTTGTATTTAATATAGACGCAATTAACTTTAACGGAAATCCCCCACAGATCTGAAGTTTTCTTAATATCAATAGTTTTAAAATCTTTAACAATACATTTTGATGATACTTTATGAAATGTAAAGTATTTAAGTATTGACGCTACCATTTGTTGATGGAGTTTGTCAAGAATGAAAAATGATGGCTGTGCTGAAAGAATTTAACGCAAATGTTTTGGATGTCGATCTAGTGCAAGGGTTTTATCAAAGCACAATTCAAGGTTGTCAAGAGAGTTATTCCGGCTTACTACTAGGACGGAATAATTATCTTCTCATCGTCAGTATAAGTTTCCTTTTAGTTTAGTCATTTAATTAGTACTCATAATTATACGTTCTTATTTTGTTCTTTGTGTAAACAGTAATTAGTACCTATAATGTTGATGGGATTGTCATGTCGTTTCGACAAAAATCCCAAAAAAAAGAAAGAAGTATTGATGCTAACTCTGTGACTTTCAAATACAATAACGTCCGAGTATATGGAGTACTCTGTTGCCTTAGGGATTTGAAGTAAAACTTCTTTATCGACGTAGTGAAGAAGTTTAGTACGGTATTAAAAACGTCACGTTTTCTTGTAGCGTTTCACCGCCTTGTAACGTTTCATGAGTAATAAATTAAAAAAGTAATCTTAGTACGTGTGTACACAATTACACGCACAATTTGTTTATTTTTTATAGAATATGGGTGACAAACGAGCACACGGTCCACCTTGTTTAGTTTAGTTTAGTTTACGACGGGCTGTTTTTCGCAACTCCACGTCTATGCGCGTATTTTGCGTGTGAGCAGGAATAATGTGATTATTCGGTCCACCTAATGGTAAGAGGACGCCGTGGTTCATAGACATCTACAGTTATCCACGAATAAGAATAAAAATGCAGATGCGTTGTCAACTTAGACTAAGATGGAATGCTCATTTCAATGAAAAAAGATACACTCATCACACAAAACAGCATTAAGCTGCTATTTTACGCTGGTAATTGGTATCTTGTGAGAGTGTGATCCATCTCCGGTTGAGTCGAGCCATTCGTATTACAACCACAATATAGCTGTAGTATGGCTCAACCACGTTCACATGGCGACACAGCGTAAACGTAGTGCAGTCCATTTTGCGATTGTGTGAAAAGAAAAATCTTATGGCTTTCAATAGATGGCGTTACAACCATCTCGTTTACATCACTCTTAAAATTATCCATAAAATAAACCAATGTTATAATATAATGTGAGTCAAATATCAGAGGCTATGCCTTTAGTCAACTGTTACTGCCCAAATGTACAACAAAGAAGCCACCGCGCAGGGCCGGTGCGGGCTGCTAGCTGATACGGTATTACACATAAGTATACTACGCCAGTTGTATTTTCATATAAGCCACTTATCTGTAATAAACTTTAATCAAGTTGACAAAGTGCGCACATAAATAATGACAGCGTTTTCTTGGCCACAGTAAACAAAAATAGTGTTAGATTTCGAAACAACGTTCGCAGTTTATAAAAAACTATTGGTACATCCAATTGAGCATGCCATGATCGCATTAAAAAATTACGTATAACATGATTATACGGATTTTTTAAAGTAGTTTAAATACGCACAAGTTTTCACTGATAACCTTATTATACTTCCAATTTTTCGATATCTTCAATTTTAAAAAAGTTTGGAAAAACCAAAAGTGCACGATACATAATGCTCATATGATCATCACTCATGTCACTCCATAAAGTCCAAGAAGTATTTAAGTATAAATATTACATCCTACTTATACTACTATTATTGTAATGAAAATGCTAAGTATGCTATTTTAATATTGTAATAAAAATCTCTGATTATTGTAATAATCAAGTATGTATGAAATATGTTTTTTTTATTTGTACAGCGATCTTTTTGAGCCGCTGCAAACAACCCAAACAGTATCCACTCACAACGGCGGTTGACGCTGAATTAACCGAGTGAGGCAGTCTCTGTTTACTAAAAAATGAATTCACATAAGGCTTCTAAACACCGAAAGTTTCGACATTTAGCTACCGAAAAAAAAATTATTATAACTTTTCGTGACTTAGTGCGCAATGTGCTAAGACTGAAGACTCTCGCCTGTTTTCTTTCTGGCTTATGACCTTATGGCAATGAGTTTTTATAGTAAAATAAATATCAATCTCTTCTATATCCCTATGGTTTCCTTTTTAATGATACATTATGTTTACAAACACTATAAGCACTATTTTGGCCTAGTGTTCAAATTTGATAACTAATACTAAAAAAAAAAACACTGACACGGTGTAACTCCGTCTTATTGAGTTTATGAAATGTATTTTAAATTAGTCCAATATTGGAGGAGGAAATGGTAGAGAGCCAAAACTCAATTGCTTATGCCTTTTTACTTAGGCTATTCAGTAGGATCTGCAGATGTCCTCATCGGACGCCGAGCGCTCGCAGAGCAATAGTTTCTTCAAATACCTAATTTTGAAAAGTCACTCGGCCCGCATTTCCTCTTAAGTCCGCAGAGCCTATCTAGTACCTAGTATGTATGTCTTTGGTTGTATTATGGTTTTTAATATCGGTACAGGTACAGTATTATCGTCTGGGGCACCTTAGACCATTAAAAAATAAACGAAACTTTCAACATGGTGCGTTTAGATTTAGCCTTTATGAAAATTTATTTTTTGTGTCAGCAATATTGTGCCGATCCTATCATTATTTTAGCTAAAGCAGCATTGCTTACATTTGGACATTTACATAAGGGCTGAATGAAATAGAAGATTTAAAGGGGCGGCAAAATATTCCTGAAAAAAAAAACTATTTATGTTGTAGGAAAACTCAAGAGGGTTGGCATGAGGAGATAGAAATGCGAGGGATGAAGCTGTGGAGACAAGAGGAATCCTTACCTGCAAGCAGAAGCCGCGCCTTGCTCAATTCCAATTCCAAATCGGGAGAAATTAGTTGAACATTAGCTGCGACTGATTCATAACTATAAAATTAAAAGTAATATTGGTTGTATCTAAATGAGAAAAATATAAATAATAGATAAATAAAAATTAAATTGGTTTTATTAAAAAAAATTGAATAAAGGTGACAAACGAGCAGCTCACCTGATGTTAAGTGGATGTTGAGGCCCATATATACTCGATTGGAAATCAAAATGCAGATGCGTTGTCACTTGTCAGTCCTTAGGACTAATATGGAATGCCTCGTTTCCAGTAAAAAGGGTCTCCGGTTCTCTACACTTACCACACGAAACACAGCAGCATTGAGCTGCTATTTTACGCTGCTACTTCAGGAGGACGAGGTCATTCCGCCACTGGAACCGATCCATTTTTGCTACCGCTATATAGCTATACCACGCATAAAAAATAAATTTATGGAAGCCTGTGTCTAGTAGTAGAACGTAGTAATTTATTAGGATGTATCTTTGATCTATTACTGCTAAAAATCTATATAATAAATCTGTAGAGAGGTCAATTCTGTACATGAAATATATTTCCAAAATAACTATCGGGGGTGATTAGTGATCGATACTGATGCCAAAAATGCAAACAGTAAAATTTTTGTCTGTCTGTCTGTCTGTCTGTCTGTATGTTCGTTATAGAAACAAAAACTACTCGACTGATTTTAACGAAACTTGGTACAATCATTCTTCATACTCTTGGGCAGGTTATAGTATACTTTTCATCACGCTACGATCAATAGGAGCAGAGCAGTGAAGGTAAAAGTTGGGGAAACGGGAGAAATTACTCCATTTTTTAAGCTTCCGTCGCGTGTACAGCCTTAATGGTTAAAGCTACACAGAAATCATGTATAACGGAAATGTTTTCCTTAAAATTATATAAAAAATATCTTTTATGGTTGACTCACAATAACACGTGTAACTCCCGATAGCTTAGCAGTTCGGAGCTTTCTGATTATATTTGTCTACTCTTACGTTTATAACACTCACTCATCCCTAATTAAAAAAAGTTAACATTATTATCTATTCATTAAAAAAGAATCATAGAAATCGCTATAGAAACACCAAAGTTATACATGAAATACGCTAATAAGCCATCGCGCGTGAATACTTGAATAATGCTATAAGGATTATTTTTGTGTAACGGTCGCCGCGCTCGACGCGGCTCGCGGCGGGAGGTATAAAAAGGCGGGGGGTCCGAGTGCGAGCTTCTCCCTCAGCGGCTCGTAGCCGCCTGCGCCCTCTTCTCCCAAAAAAGGGTCGCTTCCGATCCGACAAAGCGGCTTAATCGGCCAATTGTCAGTCCCCAAAGTGGAGTTTAGTGGGTATCACATATTTTATGGTATTTAGTGGGTGGTATTAGGTTCCCCAGTAGGTAGTCACAGTGAGTCCCACATAACCACGACAGACCGGCTGTCGTGGTATGCGTAAAGCATTCTCCATTTCCTCGCCGTATCGAGGTAGCCCTTTCCAATTGCTTCTGGGCGCAAAAAAAAGTGCGAGCTTCATACCAGTACAAGTTGATGCGAATAGACGTTCAGAGTGTTCGACCTTATTGACAGACTAATTGATTTTAACAAACCGTGCTTATCAGCGCGACTTTTAGTCTACTCTTACGTTTAATAATTTATTTTTAGATTTCTTTGGTTGTTATTTTATATAATTTAAAATTAAAAATTTTGTACAGCCGACTTCAATATAAGTTATTTAAGAATAACTTAAAAACTATTGGTCTGACCTTGATCAAATTCATATGGGACCACACGAGAAGTACCAGCTTTCAAATAAAAAAAGAATCATCGAAATCGGTTCACCCAGAAAAAAGTACTGAGGTAACACACATAAAAAAAAAAAAAAAAAAAAAACGAAAAAAAAAAAACATACAGTCGAATTGAGTACCGGCTCCTTTTTGGAAGTCGGCAGAAAATAGGTATTAGTTATTTTGGTAGTGTTTAAATATTTCTTAGTATTAGCTTAATTATAAATTAAACTTTTTTTTTATTTAGCTGTAGTTTTAAATAGGTACCTAGGTATCAAATGGGTTATTTCATTCTATTAGACGTAGTTTAGGTACCTACTTATATATTTTTAAGAATTTAATTTTGGATTTAAGCATTTATTTAGGATCCGTTTTGTTATTTAAGTAGGCATTTAGATTTTTTTTAAGTGTATGGTAGCTATAGTTAGGACCTCTAACGTAGATTATTTTGTTAGGTAACTGAATGCCGTCGATTAAAAATAAAATACACAATGCCACCTAAAAAACTATTATCTTTATCTCGAAATTCGAGAGAAGTCAAGAGAATGAGAAATGTGCGTTCTCAAGAATCGGCAGAGGAAAGAGCACATCGGTTAAACTCTATGAGAGTTAGTGCCTCAACTTCTCGAGCCAATGAAAGCTCTCCAGAAAGAGAGATGCGATTAGCAGCTCACAGAGCGAGACGAGCTACATCACGGGCGTCTCAAAGTCCTTCTCAACGAGAGCTAAGCTTTACCATTGACCGAGAACAACATGTGTTATCCCGAGAAGCTGAAACTGCTTCACAACGACAATTGCGAGAACGGCATACATTATCTCGCGAGTCCGAAACCTACAACTGAGAGGGAATTACGTCTCACAGCTGATCGCGAACGGCTTGTACTATTCTGTGAGTCCGAAACCTTCAATGTTCTATGAACGTAGTATGTTCTTTTTGTAATGCTTCAAAGTGGAGTAAGGAGTCGGCTGGTTTCTGTTGTTCTGGAGGTAAAATAAATTTGCCTTCTTTCGAAGATCCACCGGAACCTTTGAAATCACTACTTTTAGGGGAAAATGTGCAATCTTAACAGTTCTTAGACAATATTCGCACTTATAATAGTGCGTTTCAAATGACATCCTTTGGTGCTCAACCAATCTCAGAAGGTCCTTTCATGCCTACTTTTAAGATACAAGGTCAGGTTTACCATTTGATAGGATCCAACAGCCGAACGAACAGTCGAATATAAGAAATCAATATTTCGCGAATTTAAATACTGAACTTATTTCACAACTTCAGAACATGTTGCATCAGGTCAATTCGTATGTATGCAGTTTTAAATCGGCATTAGAAGCTCTTCCTCAAGATGGTGATAACAATTATAAAATTGTTATAAATGCCGATAGGCGTCCAACTCAGGAACACCCTGGGCGTTATAACGTTCCATCCACGAATGAAGTTGCTGTAGTATTGGTCGACCAGGAATGTGGTAGGCGTGATATCGTTATCCGTTCCAGAGACAATCGTCTCGTGTAGAGGCGAAATACGTGTCGTATTATCGTCAGTGGTGTATCTTGCCTAATGTAGTGGTGTTGGGAGTAGCGGTGCTGGGATTAGTGGTGACGGGGATAGTGCACGCAATTGAGGGAGGGCGGGAGGTGCTCTTCATACTAGGTAAGACACATCGTTTTATTTTATAACGTGGATATTTGCAAAGTAAAAAAATTTTCTAAAAGCTTTTATACAATCGTTTGCAACGTATTTACGAAACCCACAGGGCTTACGACAGTTTGCAATATCCTTTAATATACTCTCGAGGAGAAGATGGTTATAATTTCGCTTTATACCAAACTGATCCGCCTACAGGCGCACCTAATTATAATAAAAAGATGTCATGCCTTCAATTTTATTGTTACCACTTGCAAGTGAGACGGAATAGATTTGTATACTTTCAACGTTTTCGTGGCTTATTCAATCAGTTTATTGTTGACATTTACGCAAAAATAGAAACCGAAAGATCAGTTTATATACGATCTAATCAAAGGCAGCTGCGCAATTAAGAATACGTGCACCTTCGGGACGCCATGCAGCAAGATAATGATACGGTGAATATGTGCCGTTTAGTTATTTTACCCTCTTCTTTTACTGGTGGTCCACGCTACATGCACGAACGTACTCAAGATGCTTTTTGTTACGTAAAAAAATATGGACGTCCCGACTTATTTATTACTGTAACTACCAATCCCAAGTGGGATGAAATCACTCGGGAGCTTATTGAGGGTCAAGCACCGCATGACCGCCATGAGATTATCGCAAGAGTTTTTCATTTAAAATTAAAATCAATGATAGATCTACTTACCAAAGATAACATTTTTGGAGATGTATTGTGTTATATGTATAGTGTTGAGAGGCAAAAACACGGCTTACCTCACGCACATATCCTGCTTTGGTTAAAAGATAAGGTTCGACCTAATGATGTAGACAGTTCAATAAGTGCTGAAATTCCAGATCCGATTGCAGATCCCGTGTTATACGACATTGTTAACTCACTCATATGATACATGGTCCATGTGGTGCATTTAACGGGAATGCTCCTTGCATGCAAGACGGTCGTTGCACTAAAAGATATCCAAAAGCATTAGTGGATGAAGCTGTAACAGGACATGATGGATACCCATTATATCGTCGCCGTTCAAGAGACAATGGTGGTTTTACTGTTGAAAAGCGAGTGTCTGGACAACAGGTTACTTTAGATAATATGTGGGTCGTTCCGTATTCGCCTGTGATGTCTAGAGCATTTCAAGCTCACATAAATTTTGAAATGTGTAATAGTGTAGAGTCAATAAAATATATTTGTAAGTATATTGACAAGGGCAGTGACCAAGCTACATTTGCGTTGAGAAATGAACATGATGAAGTTACTAGATTTCAGTCAGGCAGATATATCAGCTCTTCAGAAGCTGTGTGGCAGATCTTAAGTTTCAACATTCACGAAAGATATCCACCTGTGACTCATCTGGATGTTCATCTTGAAGGCGGTCAACGTATATATTCCAACGCCGAAAATGTTACAGAACGATTAGAGAACCCTAGACCGTGGCAGGCCTGTAGATGGCGAGTCAGGTATTTTCAAAGAACATGTTCTTGGCAGAGTGTATACCGTTCATCCTAACGCTGAGTGTTTCTATTTGCGATTATTATTACATGCAGTGCGAAGACCAACATCATTTATAGATTTGAGAAAAGTAGACGATGTTGTTTATCCAACTTATCATGCAGCTTGCCAAGCGCGTCGTTTGCTTGAAAATGATCACCATTGGGATGACGCTTTAGCAGAATCCTGTGTTAGTGATAATCCACGACGGTTACGCCATTTATTTGTAACATTACTAACATTTTGTAATTTGTCAGATGCTGTACAATTATGGGAACTAATATAAAGAAAAATTTGCAGAAGACTTTCTTCGGAATATATCTCACAATGATGAAGGCGCAACTAATGATAATTTCCGTGATCTTGCCATAAATCTGTGCTTATTAGCTCTTCAGGAAGATTTAACAGCAGTAGGCGGTAAATCACTCTGTGAATATGGTTTGCCAACACCAACCTCAGTCGGAGAGGTTACCAATAGGGAATATTCTGCAGAGATTGGTTACAACTCAATGGAACTGCTGGCAACATTAGAAAACGGTGTCCCAATGATGACTGCAGAACAACGTTCAGTCTATGATCGCGTGTGCGAGAGTGTTCAGAATAATTTGGGAACAATATGGTTTTTAGATGCACCTGGAGGAACTGGGAAAACCTTTTTGACTAAATTAATATTAGCTTATGTTCGAAATCAGCGTAAAATTGCTCTTGCCGTGGCTTCATTAGGTATAGCTACAACATTGCTACCAGGAGGTAAAACTGCTTACACTATGTTTAAAATACCAATTGATTTAAATCGTATGGAAAGTCCAACTTGTAGTATTTCAAGAAATAGCGACAAAGCTAAGGTATTACGTGAGTGTAATTTAAGGCTTCTACAATGGTCAGTAACCTTGACGATTTAGACTTTGTTTAAATTTAGCGACACCTACCAAAAGACAGACGTACCACAATGGCACTACGTAAATAGTAGACAAAAATTAACGATGTATAGATATGACAACTTATTTGCACAATTTTATTCGACCTCTGAGAGACCTACGTTGTTCTCAGCAATGGACATGGTTAGGAAGATTTAGTTTTCAGAAACTCCCATATTTAGCACGGACGCTGCTACGTGCCATACACGTCGTGAAGATATGTGGATGACCACGTAAATACCAAATGGTTCTCAGCAATGGAAATGGTTAGGAATATTTAGTTTCCAGAAACTCTCATATTCAGCACGGATACTGCTACGTGACACTTCGTGAAGATATGTGGATGACCACATAAGTACCAAGTGGTTCGCAGCAATGGAAATGGTCAGGAATATTTTGTTTCCAGAAACTCTCATATTCAGCACGGACGCTGCTACGTAACACTTTGTGAAGGTATGTGGTTGACCAGGTAAGAACCAAGTGGTTTTCAGCAATAGAAATGGTTACAAGGATTTAGTTTTCAGAAACTCTCATATTCAGCACGAACGCTGCTACGTAACACTTTGTGAAGGTATGTGGATGACCAGGTAAGAACCAAGTGGTTCTCAGCAATGAAATTGGTTAGAAAGATTTAGTTTTTAGAAACTCTCATATTCAGTACGGACGCTGCTACGTAACACTTCGTGAAGATATGTGGATGACCACATAAGTACCAAGTGGTTCTCAGCAATGGCAATGGTTAGGAAGATTTAGCTTTCATAAACTCTCATATTCAGCACGGATTCTGCTACGTAACACTTTGTGAAGGTATATGGATGACCAGGTAAGAACCAAGTGGTTCTCAGCAATGGAAATGGTTTGAAAGATTTAGTTTTCAGAAACTCTCATATTTAGCACGGACGCTGCTACGTGCCATACACGTCGTGAAGATATGTGGATGACCACGTAAATACCAAATGGTTCTCAGCAATGGAAATGGTTAGGAATATTTAGTTTCCAGAAACTCTCATATTCAGCACGGATACTGCTACGTGACACTTCGTGAAGATATGTGGATGACCAGGTAAAGTACCAAGTGGATCTCAGCAATGGAAATGGTTAGAAAGATTTAGTTTTCAGAAACTCTCATATTCAGCACGGATACTGCTACGTGACACTTCGTGAAGATATGTGGATGACCAGGTAAAGTACCAAGTGGATCTCAGCAATGAAATTGGTTAGAAAGATTTAGTTTTTAGAAACTCTCATATTCAGCACGGATACTGCTACGTGACACTTCGTGAAGATATGTGGATGACCACATAAGTACCAAGTGGTTCGCAGCAATGGAAATGGTCAGGAATATTTTGTTTCCAGAAACTCTCATATTCAGCACGGACGCTGCTACGTAACACTTTGTGAAGGTATGTGGTTGACCAGGTAAGAACCAAGTGGTTTTCAGCAATAGAAATGGTTACAAGGATTTAGTTTTCATAAACTCTCATATTCAGCACGAACGCTGCTACGTAACACTTTGTGAAGGTATGTGGATGACCAGGTAAGAACCAAGTGGTTCTTAGCAATGAAAATGGTTAGAAAGATTTAGTTTTCAGAAACTCTCATATTTAGCACGGACGCTGCTACGTGCCATACACGTCGTGAAGATATGTGGATGACCACGTAAATACCAAATGGTTCTCAGCAATGGAAATGGTTAGGAATATTTAGTTTCCAGAAACTCTCATATTCAGCACGGATACTGCTACGTGACACTTCGTGAAGATATGTGGATGACCAGGTAAAGTACCAAGTGGATCTCAGCAATGAAATTGGTTAGAAAGATTTAGTTTTTAGAAACTCTCATATTCAGCACGGACGCTGCTACGTGCCATACACTTCGTGAAGATATGTGGATGACCACATAACTACCAAGTGGTTCGCAGCAATGGAAATTGTCAGGAATATTTTGTTTCCAGAAACTCTCATATTCAGCACGGACACTGCTACGTGACACTTTGTGAAGGTATGTGGATGACCAGGTAAGAACCAAGTGGTTCTCAGCAATAGAAATGGTTAGAAAGATTTTGTTTCCAGAAACTCTCATATTCAGCACGGACACTGCTACGTGACACTTTGTGAAGATATGTGGATGACCAGGTAAGAACCAAGTGGTTCTCAGCAATAGAAATGGTTAGAAAGATTTAGTTTTCAAAAACTCTCATATTCAGCACGGACACTGCTACGTGACACTTTGTGAAGGTATGTGGATGACCAGGTAAGAACCAAGTGGTTCTCTGCAATAGAAATGGTTAGAAAGATTTAGTTTTCAAAAACTCTCATATTCAGCACGGACACTGCTACGTGACACTTTGTGAAGGTATGTGGTCGACCACGTAAGTATCATATGATTCTCAGCAATGGAAATGGTTAGGAATATTTAGTTTCCAGAAACTCTCATATTCAGCACGGATACTGCTACGTGACTCTTCGTGAAGATATGTGGATGACCACATAAGTACCAAGTGGTTCTCAACAATGGAAATGGTTAGGAAGATTTAGTTTTCAGAAACTCATATTCAGCACGGACGTTACTACGTGCGTTACACTTCGTGAAGGTATGTGGATGACCAGGTAAGTACCAAGTTGTTCTCAAAAATGGAAATGGTTAGGAAGATTTAGTTTTCAGAAACTCTCATAATCAGCATAGACGCTATTTATGAAAAATTAAAAAGGGTTTACAGTTATCATCTAAAACTTAGATTCTAAATAAAGTAACATTTTTCTTCTCAAATTATTTAAATTGTCATTGGAAATATCTAAATCAGATGGCCTAGATATATCATTATACAGTCTAAACATTCTGCATAATGCTGAATTAATGCGTGATAAAATTAGAAATGAGGATATCCGCAGTAGAACCAGAGTGACCGTCATAGCCCAACGGATTAGTAAGCTGAAGTGGCAGTGGGCCGGCCATATAGCTCGAAGAACCGACAACCGATGGGGAAGAAAGGTTCTTGAGCGGCAGCCTCGTACCGGTAGGCGAAGTGTAGGGCGACCCCCCACGAGATAGAGTGACGACCTGATAAGACATCCAGGAAGTCGATGGATGCAGGTGGCTCAGGACCGTGCTTTGTGGCATTCCTTGGGGTAGGCCTATGTTCAGCAGTGGACTTATTAAAGGCTGTAATGATGATGATAATGATTTCCAGTAATTGAGGACAGTCGATGCCATTATTGCACAGTTAGTAGAGGAAGCTCAAATCCAAAAGCTTTCGCCTGTTATACAAGGAAGATATACAGAAATGCGTTAGCCGTTCATCATATGAAGTTAAGGTGCGATGACGGTTAAATTTCAATGCTAGCATGCAAAGAAACCTCCGCTGTACTCATTCGATTCCACTCTTATGAACCTCATAGAAAGGAGACCAAACTTGAGAACAATATTCAAGGTTGCTCCGAACTAAGCTGTGAAAGAGTAGTAGTAAAGTTTGAGTATATCTGAACTGTTTGGTGTTTCTATCTAAAAATCCGCACATTTTGGGCGCCTTCGTTATAATACTGTTTATAATATGTGGTACGAAAGACAGTTTACTATCCAACAAAACGCCCAGGTCTCGTATACACTCCACTTATAATGATGATCTGGTTTATATGTGTAAGTGCTAAATTAAGTAAAAGAGGAAATAAACTTTGCGTACTTTTTAATTATTTTATCTTAACATGTTAGGCACACCATAAATCTGTCAAGATTAAATCAACCGTTGAATATTTTGTGCAAGTTAAAATTCATTATAATCCAAGTATCGTGAACAGGTTGGTTGATCCGCTTCTGGAATTACTGGTGTTGATGATCGTGTCGATTCTTGATATAAGGCGGAAAGCGTTGTGTTTGCCTGCTCAGCAATTGGAATTATGCGTTGTATTTTCCTCTTGGAGATTTCAAGTTTTTGATTCTTTTCTTTTTTCTTTATGGCTTCAATTATATAGATTGGATTACGTATTTCCATATTTCTGGTATGTCTGGGGTCTAAAATTTCAGGCAATATACAATTTAAATAAAAATTACGTAACTTTGACTTCATTTTATTTTCAAAACAATCATCATCCCTATAAATGACTTCCGTTTTCAGTGGTTGCGACTCACTGAACCATACAGCGAATACACATTTTGCTTTCCGAGTCACGTGTAACTGCCCCTGTACTTGATAGAACCAGTTGTGATTTTTATTTATGTTTAAATTACCTAATTTGTCTTTAATCCAAAAATTTACTTTTTTTTTTGTAATAGCTTCCTCTAGTCCTGTCTTAAATGCCGTTATTGGACACTTAACCTCCACTATTGTTTCTTCGTCTATAATCCCATCTGGTGTGGCCCCCAAATACGGAATTTCGGGATCTATATAAAGCCCGCAAGGTCTTATATCCACTGCTTCTTGCGTAGATAATTGCTGTAGCGCTTTTTTTTCATATTCTCTTCCGTGCTGCATAGGAACAGCATCTATATTAATTTTGTATACCAATTGCTTTACTATATTGGCACAACTAATATCTGGCCTCATTTTGATCACTTTGCCAAAGTTCGAAGCTGTCAACAAAGAACGTCTAAGTTCAAGCCATTCGCTAGACTCGCTTTGCAAAATGGTCTGCCGCTCAATCCGTGTTCTCTCTTCTTCACTTTTTTTTAAAGTGGATATAAAAGTTTTCTTCATTAAATTAAGAACATCATCACTCACATCCGGCTTAGAGCTTTGTTCACCATAATCTTTATTTTGAGTTATAGCATCACACGTCTTCTGTGGCTTTTTATAATTGGCGCGTTTCTTCAAGCCTCTAAGTTTCCGATACTTATTATCTAAAGTGCTCATTCGGCCTTTAGGGCTTTTGCCAACAATTGTTTTGTACAATATTGTAGTAGGTTTTCTTTTAGTATTGAACGTAATTGCAGAAGCTGAACACCTAGTTTGATAGCCGCGCCTCAGAGAGTAATTTACTCTTTTACCCCCAACTAATTTGGCCACAACGCTGTGAAAACATTCTACGATGTTACTATCAATATCATGAACAAGACTTCTTGAATGGCCAGCAATACTATTTATAATAAAACATATTCTCTGCCATAAAGAACTTGTGAAAAAATCCGCCAGTACTGATTCAGTTTCAGTTTGACGACAATTACAGAAATGGTTTTTACAGTTGGTGTGGTTCCCGAAGGCATGTAAATGTACAGTTTGAATGTCCTCAAAAAGTTTGTGAGTGCAAAAATCTATAGTCTCTGTAGAATCATGATATTTTTTGATGCATTTTCTAATTGTGGACCTAATAGTCATTATGCGTTTTTTCGTAACTAATTTTCTAAGATGTATGGGATATTTTGTATCTGTGATCAGGTTTTCCAGTTTGTTGCACAAGTTTCTTAAAAGGTGATTTCTGCACTCTACTTTTTCAACTGTAAATTGAGGGTAAGGTCTTGCTTCTAATATTTTAGAGTACGTGCTAGAATCTCCGTCAGATATTAGACGTCCATAAATCAGACCGTACATTTCAACAGATAATCTAAAACCTTCTACTATCAGGGTAGATTCCATGGCAGTAGAAGCACCCGTGAAATTTTTGTAACACTGATGAGCTCTCGGAGTTTGATTTTTGTTACAACCTTGCGCACATATGCTGCAGTACTTATTTTTAACACCGAGAAACAAAATTTTTTTCGTTTCTTTTCCGATTATGGCAGCAGCTCCTGAAAGTGCTGAGTAATTCTTTTTATAAGACCTCTTACTCCAGCATCCATCAACAATAACATCTATAATAGGTATGCCATCAGTGGTCACACGACCTTTTTCTAAAGCAATCTTTTTTTCTTCTTCTGCGGCTTCTTGCATGGATTGATCAAGTGCTTTTTCCCAGGCGTTAGAAACAAACTCGTGCTGTTTTTGGTACAGAGGCTCAGTCATCATAGGTAAATCGATCGCTGATAGTAATTCCTCTAATTGTGAGTAGCCTATACCAACAGAAACTGCACCGGCAACCGCAGCTGTATTTATGTCCAGATCACCGGAGACATTTAGAATATACTTTTCTTTACACATCGACGCACCAGCGACTGATTCTGTATTTATTTCCAGATCACCTGGGACATTATTTAATATAAACTTTCCTTTACACATTAAACACTCTAGAGTAAACTTGGATGACAATCCAACTCGTTTCTCTCCAACAATTTTTAAACTTTGTACTCCACAGTTATAGGGGCTATGATTGCTGATTTCTTGCAATTTTGAAAAAAAGTATTTTATATCAACAATTCGTCTGCCAGATATATTTATTTTTTCTGTTACTGGTTGATTCTTCTCAATAGTTAATTCCGGTAAAATGTCATCTTGTTGAAGCTGAGAACAAAATAATTATCATGTAATACATTGCTAAATTCATATAAAAAAAATGAATCTCTATTATCTATTATCTTGGATAGAATGTGTCGAATTTTATGGGTTCCCAGACTTGTCGGTTTCCTCAATACGTTTTTGTTTACCAGAAACGAATTTAACAACATTAAAAATAGAATGGCACTCTTAATTGTAAAAAGTAGCTACCGTAATATCCGGCAACGAAGTCTCCTCATCAACTGCCATACCGAACGGATCGTGAGTTTCTGCAATAGTCGTAGATGAATGTAATGCATTACATTCAGTTGACGGATCTTTCCCCTGATTTTTTGAATGGGATTTCTAGTGATTTCTCAATTGCCTAAAAACATAAAGATACATTAGAAATATTATCGCAACAGATACTCAACAAAAAGAGTACAATAAAAGCATTTTCAGAAATGGTAAGTAAACCATCACAGAAAGCTAAGTAAATGCGAGCCCTTTCAAATGAGTACAAACACGATGGTTCTACTGTACGTGGCTCCGTCACTGAGATCCTGTACCCACCTTCGGACTACTTCGAAGTGCAACATCAGGTAAGTGAAATCATCACAGACAGCTAGGTAACTGCGAGCCCTTTCAAATGAGTACAAACACGATGGTTTTACGTAATTCCGTCACTGAGATCGCGTACCCACTTTCGAACTACTTCGAAATGTAGCATCAGGTAAGTGAAATCATCACAAACAGCTAGGTGACTGCGAACCCTTTCAAATGAGTACAAACACGATGGTTTTACGTGGTTCCGTCATTGAGACCCTGTACCTACCTTCGCACCATTTCGAAGTGCAGCATAAGGTAAGTGAAATCATCACAAGCAGCTAGGTGGCTGCGAGCCCTTTCAAATGAGTACAAACACGATTGTTTTACGTGGTTCCGTCACTGAGATCGCGTACCCACCTTCGAACTACTTCTGAGTGCAGCATCAGGTAAGTGAAATCATCACAGACAGCTAGGTAACTGCGAGACCTTTCTAATGAGTACAAACACGATGGTTCTACTATACGTGGTTCCGTCACTGAGATCCTGTACCCACCTTCGAACTACTTCGGAGTGCACCATCAGGTAAGTGAAATCATCACAGACAGCTAGGTGGCTGCGAGCCCTTTCAAATGAGTACAAACACGATTATTTTACGTGGTTCCGTCACTGAGATCGCGTACCCACCTTCGAACTACTTCGGAGTGCAGCATCAGGTAAGTGAAATCCTCACAGACAGCTAGGTAACTGCGAGACCTTTCTAATGAGTACAAACACGATGGTTCTACTATACGTGGTTCCGTCACTGAGATCCTGTACCCACCTTCGAACTACTTCGGAGTGCACCATCAGGTAAGTGAAATCATCACAATCAGCTAGGTGGCTGCGAGCCCTTTCAAATGAGTACAAACACAATGGATTTACGTGGTTCCGTCACTGAGATCCTGTACCTACCTTCAGACTATTTCGAAGTGCAGCATAAGGTAAGTGAAATCATCACAATCAGCTAGGTGGCTGCGAGCCCTTTCAAATGAGTACAAACACGATTATTTTACGTGGTTTCGTCACTCAGATCGCGTACCCACCTTCGAACTACTTCGGAGTGCAGCATCAGGTAAGTGAAATCCTCACAGACAGCTAGGTAACTGCGAGCTCTTTCAAATAAGTACAATTACGATGGTTTTACTTTACGTGGTTCCGTCACTGAGATCGCGTACCTACCTTCGAACTACTTCGGAGTGCAGCATCAGGTAAGTAAAATCACCACAGACAGCTAGGTAACTGCGAGCCCTTTCAAATGAGTACAAACAGGATGGTTCTACTATACGTGGTTCCGTCACTGAGATCCTGTACCCACCTTCGAACTACTTCGGAGTGCAGCATCAGGTAAGTAATATCATCACAGAAAGCTAGGTAACATCGAGCCCTTTCAAATGAGTACAAACAAGATGGTTCTACTCTACGTAGTTCCGTCACTGAGATCCTCTACCCACCTTCGGACTACTTCAGAGTGCAGCATCAGGTAAGTGAAATCACCACAGACAGCTAGGTAACTGCGAGCCCTTTCAAATGAGTACAAACACGATGGTTCTATTCTACGTGGTTCCGTCACTGAGATCCTGTACCCACCTTCGAACTACTTCGGAGTGCAGCATCAGGTAATTGAAATCATCACAGATAGCTAGGTAACTGCGAGCCCTTTCAACTGAGTACAAACACGATGGTTTTACGTGGATCCGTCACTGAGATCGCGCACCCACCTTCGAACTACTTCGGAGTGCAGCATCAGGTATTTGAAATCATCACAAACAGCTAGGTAACTGTGAGCCCTTTCAAATGAGTACAAACACGATGGTTCTATTCTACGTGGTTCCGTCACTGAGATCCTGTACCCACCTTCGAACTACTTCGGAGTGCAGCATCAGGTAAGTGAAATCATCACAAACAGCTAGGTGACTGCGAGCCCTTTCAAATGAGTACAAACACCATGGTTTTACGTGGATCCGTCACTGAGATCGCGCACCCACCTTCGAACTACTTCGGAGTGCAGCATCAGGTAAGTGAAATCATCACAAACAGCTAGGTGACTGCGAGCCCTTTCAAATGAGTACAAACACCATGGTTTTACGTGGATCCGTCACTGAGATCGCGCACCCACCTTCGAACTACTTCAGAGTGCAGCATCAGGTATGTGAAATCATCACAAACAGCTAGGTGACTATGAGCCCTTTCAAATGAGTACAAACACGATGGATTTACGTGGTTCCGTCACTGAGATCCTGTACCTACCTTCAGACTATTTCGAAGTGCAGCATAAGGTAAGTGAAATCATCACAATCAGCTAGGTGGCTGCGAGCCCTTTCGAATGAGTACAAACACGATGGTTTTACATGGTTCCGTCACTGAGATCCTGTACCTACCTTCGGAGTGCAGGACTGTAGCATCGAACCAGCCAAAAATGGTTACGTTCATATTACTTTATATTTTTTCTTATTTGCTTATTTGCGGCTCAATAAATTCTCCGCCTATACAATAGAAGGAAACACGACAGTTTTCGGAACGCTGTATAAGTACCCCTGCATAAGTATTTACACAAAAGAAAATAAATCTAGGATAATTTATTTACCAATAATTTTGAAGAGCTTGGCCACGCTTTACTTTTGACTTGCTTTTGTATTTCGGCATTGTCAAGCTTAGTCTATTCTATGATACGATTATATACAAAACTAAAACTAAAAACGATTTTATTTACGTAAATCAACTTAATTTCTAATATTTATCAACTATTGCTAATGTACGTTTTGTTTACAACAAATCTGTTTTTATAAATTTGAAATATTGTGAACTTTTTAATATATTTTTCAGAAAATAACGCGCGCACAGTCCACCCGTCGCAAGAGTCGAACCGACACTAGTAAATATCCGTAATAGGCCATAGCGGGGGAGCTTCGGGGAGTGGAAAGAGGCCGAATTATGTTTTACTATACTTTAAGAAAAATATTTAACAAAAATACAATAAAAACAATACATTTTTTTATTATGACTTAACAAATATTTCAATACAAATTTAATCTTAAACTGTTGAGCCTTTCTTGAGAAAAAATACAAAATAAGTTTAAAACAGCCTTTGTATTTGATTTTTTTTTTGTAATAATGGTCAAATATTCAAAAATTTTAAACAATAAAAATAAATTTTGATGATCTAAACTATGAAACATAATTTTTTTGTAGCAAACAAACGAAAGGATTTGGCTATAACTTTTTGTAAACCTGGGCGTTTTTCACGATTCGAGGCTTCTACAATGGTCAGTAACCTTGACGATTTAGACTTTGTTTAAATTTAGCGACACCTACCAAAAGACAGACGTACCACAATGGCACTACGTAAATAGTAGACAAAAATTAACGATGTATAGATATGACAACTTATTTGCACAATTTTATTCGACCTCTGAGAGACCTACGTTGTTCTCAGCAATGGACATGGTTAGGAAGATTTAGTTTTCAGAAACTCCCATATTTAGCACGGACGCTGCTACGTGCCATACACGTCGTGAAGATATGTGGATGACCACGTAAATACCAAATGGTTCTCAGCAATGGAAATGGTTAGGAATATTTAGTTTCCAGAAACTCTCATATTCAGCACGGATACTGCTACGTGACACTTCGTGAAGATATGTGGATGACCACATAAGTACCAAGTGGTTCGCAGCAATGGAAATGGTCAGGAATATTTTGTTTCCAGAAACTCTCATATTCAGCACGGACGCTGCTACGTAACACTTTGTGAAGGTATGTGGTTGACCAGGTAAGAACCAAGTGGTTTTCAGCAATAGAAATGGTTACAAGGATTTAGTTTTCAGAAACTCTCATATTCAGCACGAACGCTGCTACGTAACACTTTGTGAAGGTATGTGGATGACCAGGTAAGAACCAAGTGGTTCTTAGCAATGAAAATGGTTAGAAAGATTTAGTTTTCAGAAACTCTCATATTCAGTACGGACGCTGCTACGTAACACTTCGTGAAGATATGTGGATGACCACATAAGTACCAAGTGGTTCTCAGCAATGGCAATGGTTAGGAAGATTTAGCTTTCATAAACTCTCATATTCAGCACGGATTCTGCTACGTAACACTTTGTGAAGGTATATGGATGACCAGGTAAGAACCAAGTGGTTCTCAGCAATGGAAATGGTTTGAAAGATTTAGTTTTCAGAAACTCTCATATTTAGCACGGACGCTGCTACGTGCCATACACGTCGTGAAGATATGTGGATGACCACGTAAATACCAAATGGTTCTCAGCAATGGAAATGGTTAGGAATATTTAGTTTCCAGAAACTCTCATATTCAGCACGGATACTGCTACGTGACACTTCGTGAAGATATGTGGATGACCAGGTAAAGTACCAAGTGGATCTCAGCAATGGAAATGGTTAGAAAGATTTAGTTTTCAGAAACTCTCATATTCAGCACGGATACTGCTACGTGACACTTCGTGAAGATATGTGGATGACCAGGTAAAGTACCAAGTGGATCTCAGCAATGAAATTGGTTAGAAAGATTTAGTTTTTAGAAACTCTCATATTCAGCACGGACGCTGCTACGTGCCATACACTTCGTGAAGATATGTGGATGACCACATAACTACCAAGTGGTTCGCAGCAATGGAAATTGTCAGGAATATTTTGTTTCCAGAAACTCTCATATTCAGCACGGACACTGCTACGTGACACTTTGTGAAGGTATGTGGATGACCAGGTAAGAACCAAGTGGTTCTCAGCAATAGAAATGGTTAGAAAGATTTTGTTTCCAGAAACTCTCATATTCAGCACGGACACTGCTACGTGACACTTTGTGAAGGTATGTGGATGACCAGGTAAGAACCAAGTGGTTCTCAGCAATAGAAATGGTTAGAAAGATTTAGTTTTCAAAAACTCTCATATTCAGCACGGACACTGCTACGTGACACTTTGTGAAGGTATGTGGATGACCAGGTAAGAACCAAGTGGTTCTCTGCAATAGAAATGGTTAGAAAGATTTAGTTTTCAAAAACTCTCATATTCAGCACGGACACTGCTACGTGACACTTTGTGAAGGTATGTGGTCGACAACGTAAGTATCATATGATTCTCAGCAATGGAAATGGTTAGGAATATTTAGTTTCCAGAAACTCTCATATTCAGCACGGATACTGCTACGTGACTCTTCGTGAAGATATGTGGATGACCACATAAGTACCAAGTGGTTCTCAACAATGGAAATGGTTAGGAAGATTTAGTTTTCAGAAACTCATATTCAGCACGGACGTTACTACGTGCGTTACACTTCGTGAAGGTATGTGGAGGACCAGGTAAGTACCAAGTTGTTCTCAAAAATGGAAATGGTTAGGAAGATTTAGTTTTCAGAAACTCTCATAATCAGCATAGACGCTATTTATGAAAAATTAAAAAGGGTTTACAGTTATCATCTAAAACTTAGATTCTAAATAAAGTAACATTTTTCTTCTCAAATTATTTAAATTGTCATTGGAAATATCTAAATCAGATGGCCTAGATATATCATTATACAGTCTAAACATTCTGCATAATGCTGAATTAATGCGTGATAAAATTAGAAATGAGGATATCCGCAGTAGAACCAGAGTGACCGTCATAGCCCAACGGATTAGTAAGCTGAAGTGGCAGTGGGCCGGCCATATAGCTCGAAGAACCGACAACCGATGGGGAAGAAAGGTTCTTGAGCGGCAGCCTCGTACCGGTAGGCGAAGTGTAGGGCGACCCCCCACGAGATAGAGTGACGACCTGATAAGACATCCAGGAAGTCGATGGATGCAGGTGGCTCAGGACCGTGCTTTGTGGCATTCCTTGGGGTAGGCCTATGTTCAGCAGTGGACTTATTAAAGGCTGTAATGATGATGATAATGATTTCCAGTAATTGAGGACAGTCGATGCCATTATTGCACAGTTAGTAGAGGAAGCTCAAATCCAAAAGCTTTCGCCTGTTATACAAGGAAGATATACAGAAATGCGTTAGCCGTTCATCATATGAAGTTAAGGTGCGATGACGGTTAAATTTCAATGCTAGCATGCAAAGAAACCTCCGCTGTACTCATTCGATTCCACTCTTATGAACCTCATAGAAAGGAGACCAAACTTGAGAACAATATTCAAGGTTGCTCCGAACTAAGCTGTGAAAGAGTAGTAGTAAAGTTTGAGTATATCTGAACTGTTTGGTGTTTCTATCTAAAAATCCGCACATTTTGGGCGCCTTCGTTATAATACTGTTTATAATATGTGGTACGAAAGACAGTTTACTATCCAACAAAACGCCCAGGTCTCGTATACACTCCACTTATAATGATGATCTGGTTTATATGTGTAAGTGCTAAATTAAGTAAAAGAGGAAATAAACTTTGCGTACTTTTTAATTATTTTATCTTAACATGTTAGGCACACCATAAATCTGTCAAGATTAAATCAACCGTTGAATATTTTGTGCAAGTTAAAATTCATTATAATCCAAGTATCGTGAACAGGTTGGTTGATCCGCTTCTGGAATTACTGGTGTTGATGATCGTGTCGATTCTTGATATAAGGAGGAAAGCGTTGTGTTTGCCTGCTCAGCAATTGGAATTATGCGTTGTATTTTCCTCTTGTAGATTTCAAGTTTTTGATTCTTTTCTTTTTTCTTTATGGCTTCAATTATATAGATTGGATTACGTATTTCCATATTTCTGGTATGTCTGGGGTCTAAAATTTCAGGCAATATACAATTTAAATAAAAATTACGTAACTTTGACTTCATTTTATTTTCAAAACAATCATCATCCCTATAAATGACTTCCGTTTTCAGTGGTTGCGACTCACTGAACCATACAGCGAATACACATTTTGCTTTCCGAGTCACGTGTAACTGCCCCTGTACTTGATAGAACCAGTTGTGATTTTTATTTATGTTTAAATTACCTAATTTGTCTTTAATCCAAAAATTTACTTTTTTTTTTGTAATAGCTTCCTCTAGTCCTGTCTTAAATGCCGTTATTGGACACTTAACCTCCACTATTGTTTCTTCGTCTATAATCCCATCTGGTGTGGCCCCCAAATACGGAATTTCGGGATCTATATAAAGCCCGCAAGGTCTTATATCCACTGCTTCTTGCGTAGATAATTGCTGTAGCGCTTTTTTTTCATATTCTCTTCCGTGCTGCATAGGAACAGCATCTATATTAATTTTGTATACCAATTGCTTTACTATATTGGCACAACTAATATCTGGCCTCATTTTGATCACTTTGCCAAAGTTCGAAGCTGTCAACAAAGAACGTCTAAGTTCAAGCCATTCGCTAGACTCGCTTTGCAAAATGGTCTGCCGCTCAATCCGTGTTCTCTCTTCTTCACTTTTTTTTAAAGTGGATATAAAAGTTTTCTTCATTAAATTAAGAACATCATCACTCACATCCGGCTTAGAGCTTTGTTCACCATAATCTTTATTTTGAGTTATAGCATCACACGTCTTCTGTGGCTTTTTATAATTGGCGCGTTTCTTCAAGCCTCTAAGTTTCCGATACTTATTATCTAAAGTGCTCATTCGGCCTTTAGGGCTTTTGCCAACAATTGTTTTGTACAATATTGTAGTAGGTTTTCTTTTAGTATTGAACGTAATTGCAGAAGCTGAACACCTAGTTTGATAGCCGCGCCTCAGAGAGTAATTTACTCTTTTACCCCCAACTAATTTGGCCACAACGCTGTGAAAACATTCTACGATGTTACTATCAATATCATGAACAAGACTTCTTGAATGGCCAGCAATACTATTTATAATAAAACATATTCTCTGGCATAAAGAACTTGTGAAAAAATCCGCCAGTACTGATTCAGTTTCAGTTTGACGACAATTACAGAAATGGTTTTTACAGTTGGTGTGGTTCCCGAAGGCATGTAAATGTACAGTTTGAATGTCCTCAAAAAGTTTGTGAGTGCAAAAATCTATAGTCTCTGTAGAATCATGATATTTTTTGATGCATTTTCTAATTGTGGACCTAATAGTCATTATGCGTTTTTTCGTAACTAATTTTCTAAGATGTATGGGATATTTTGTATCTGTGATCAGGTTTTCCAGTTTGTTGCACAAGTTTCTTAAAAGGTGATTTCTGCACTCTACTTTTTCAACTGTAAATTGAGGGTAAGGTCTTGCTTCTAATATTTTAGAGTACGTGCTAGAATCTCCGTCAGATATTAGACGTCCATAAATCAGACCGTACATTTCAACAGATAATCTAAAACCTTCTACTATCAGGGTAGATTCCATGGCAGTAGAAGCACCCGTGAAATTTTTGTAACACTGATGAGCTCTCGGAGTTTGATTTTTGTTACAATCTTGCGCACATATGCTGCAGTACTTATTTTTAACACCGAGAAACAAAATTTTTTTCGTTTCTTTTCCGATTATGGCAGCAGCTCCTGAAAGTGCTGAGTAATTCTTTTTATAAGACCTCTTACTCCAGCATCCATCAACAATAACATCTATAATAGGTATGCCATCAGTGGTCACACGACCTTTTTCTAATCACCTGGGACATTATTTAATATAAACTTTCCTTTACACATTAAACACTCTAGAGTAAACTTGGATGACAATCCAACTCGTTTCTCTCCAACAATTTTTAAACTTTGTACTCCACAGTTATAGGGGCTGTGATTGCTGATTTCTTGCAATTTTGAAAAAAAGTATTTTATATCAACAATTCGTCTGCCAGATATATTTATTTTTTCTGTTACTGGTTGATTCTTCTCAATAGTTAATTCCGGTAAAATGTCATCTTGTTGAAGCTGAGAACAAAATAATTATCATGTAATACATTGCTAAATTCATATAAAAAAAATGAATCTCTATTATCTATTATCTTGGATAGAATGTGTCGAATTTTATGGGTTCCCAGACTTGTCGGTTTCCTCAATACGTTTTTGTTTACCAGAAACGAATTTAACAACATTAAAAATAGAATGGCACTCTTAATTGTAAAAAGTAGCTACCGTAATATCCGGCAACGAAGTCTCCTCATCAACTGCCATACCGAACGGATCGTGAGTTTCTGCAATAGTCGTAGATGAATGTAATGCATTACATTCAGTTGACGGATCTTTCCCCTGATTTTTTGAATGGGATTTCTAGTGATTTCTCAATTGCCTAAAAACATAAAGATACATTAGAAATATTATCGCAACAGATACTCAACAAAAAGAGTACAATAAAAGCATTTTCAGAAATGGTAAGTAAACCATCACAGAAAGCTAAGTAAATGCGAGCCCTTTCAAATGAGTACAAACACGATGGTTCTACTGTACGTGGCTCCGTCACTGAGATCCTGTACCCACCTTCGGACTACTTCGAAGTGCAACATCAGGTAAGTGAAATCATCACAGACAGCTAGGTAACTGCGAGCCCTTTCAAATGAGTACAAACACGATGCTTTTACGTAATTCCGTCACTGAGATCGCGTACCCACTTTCGAACTACTTCGAAATGTAGCATCAGGTAAGTGAAATCATCACAAACAGCTAGGTGACTGCGAACCCTTTCAAATGAGTACAAACACGATGGTTTTACGTGGTTCCGTCATTGAGACCCTGTACCTACCTTCGCACCATTTCGAAGTGCAGCATAAGGTAAGTGAAATCATCACAAGCAGCTAGGTGGCTGCGAGCCCTTTCAAATGAGTACAAACACGATTGTTTTACGTGGTTCCGTCACTGAGATCGCGTACCCACCTTCGAACTACTTCTGAGTGCAGCATCAGGTAAGTGAAATCATCACAGACAGCTAGGTAACTGCGAGACCTTTCTAATGAGTACAAACACGATGGTTCTACTATACGTGGTTCCGTCACTGAGATCCTGTACCCACCTTCGAACTACTTCGGAGTGCACCATCAGGTAAGTGAAATCATCACAGACAGCTAGGTGGCTGCGAGCCCTTTCAAATGAGTACAAACACGATTATTTTACGTGGTTCCGTCACTGAGATCGCGTACCCACCTTCGAACTACTTCGGAGTGCAGCATCAGGTAAGTGAAATCCTCACAGACAGCTAGGTAACTGCGAGACCTTTCTAATGAGTACAAACACGATGGTTCTACTATACGTGGTTCCGTCACTGAGATCCTGTACCCACCTTCGAACTACTTCGGAGTGCACCATCAGGTAAGTGAAATCATCACAATCAGCTAGGTGGCTGCGAGCCCTTTCAAATGAGTACAAACACAATGGATTTACGTGGTTCCGTCACTGAGACCCTGTACCTACCTTCAGACTATTTCGAAGTGCAGCATAAGGTAAGTGAAATCATCACAATCAGCTAGGTGGCTGCGAGCCCTTTCAAATGAGTACAAACACGATTATTTTACGTGGTTTCGTCACTGAGATCGCGTACCCACCTTCGAACTACTTCGGAGTGCAGCATCAGGTAAGTGAAATCCTCACAGACAGCTAGGTAACTGCGAGCTCTTTCAAATAAGTACAATTACGATGGTTTTACTTTACGTGGTTCCGTCACTGAGATCGCGTACCTACCTTCGAACTACTTCGGAGTGCAGCATCAGGTAAGTAAAATCACCACAGACAGCTAGGTAACTGCGAGCCCTTTCAAATGAGTACAAACAGGATGGTTCTACTATACGTGGTTCCGTCACTGAGATCCTGTACCCACCTTCGAACTACTTCGGAGTGCAGCATCAGGTAAGTAAAATCATCACAGAAAGCTAGGTAACATCGAGCCCTTTCAAATGAGTACAAACAAGATGGTTCTACTCTACGTAGTTCCGTCACTGAGATCCTCTACCCACCTTCGGACTACTTCAGAGTGCAGCATCAGGTAAGTGAAATCACCACAGACAGCTAGGTAACTGCGAGCCCTTTCAAATGAGTACAAACACGATGGTTCTATTCTACGTGGTTCCGTCACTGAGATCCTGTACCCACCTTCGAACTACTTCGGAGTGCAGCATCAGGTAATTGAAATCATCACAGATAGCTAGGTAACTGCGAGCCCTTTCAACTGAGTACAAACACGATGGTTTTACGTGGATCCGTCACTGAGATCGCGCACCCACCTTCGAACTACTTCGGAGTGCAGCATCAGGTATTTGAAATCATCACAAACAGCTAGGTAACTGTGAGCCCTTTCAAATGAGTACAAACACGATGGTTCTATTCTACGTGGTTCCGTCACTGAGATCCTGTACCCACCTTCGAACTACTTCGGAGTGCAGCATCAGGTAAGTGAAATCATCACAAACAGCTAGGTGACTGCGAGCCCTTTCAAATGAGTACAAACACCATGGTTTTACGTGGATCCGTCACTGAGATCGCGCACCCACCTTCGAACTACTTCGGAGTGCAGCATCAGGTATTTGAAATCATCACAAACAGCTAGGTAACTGTGAGCCCTTTCAAATGAGTACAAACACGATGGTTCTATTCTACGTGGTTCCGTCACTGAGATCCTGTACCCACCTTCGAACTACTTCGGAGTGCAGCATCAGGTAAGTGAAATCATCACAAACAGCTAGGTGACTGCGAGCCCTTTCAAATGAGTACAAACACGATGGTTCTATTCTACGTGGTTCCGTCACTGAGATCCTGTACCCACCTTCGAACTACTTCGGAGTGCAGCATCAGGTAATTGAAATCATCACAGATAGCTAGGTAACTGCGAGCCCTTTCAACTGAGTACAAACACGATGGTTTTACGTGGATCCGTCACTGAGATCGCGTACCCACCTTCGAACTACTTCGGAGTGCAGCATCAGGTAAGTGAAATCATCACAAACAGCTAGGTGACTGCGAGCCCTTTCAAATGAGTACAAACACCATGGTTTTACGTGGATCCGTCACTGAGATCGCGCACCCACCTTCGAACTACTTCAGAGTGCAGCATCAGGTATGTGAAATCATCACAAACAGCTAGGTGACTATGAGCCCTTTCAAATGAGTACAAACACGATGGATTTACGTGGTTCCGTCACTGAGATCCTGTACCTACCTTCAGACTATTTCGAAGTGCAGCATAAGGTAAGTGAAATCATCACAATCAGCTAGGTGGCTGCGAGCCCTTTCGAATGAGTACAAACACGATGGTTTTACATGGTTCCGTCACTGAGATCCTGTACCCACCTTCGGAGTGCAGGACTGTAGCATCGAACCAGCCAAAAATGGTTACGTTCATATTACTTTATATTTTTTCTTATTTGCTTATTTGCGGCTCAATAAATTCTCCGCCTATACAATAGAAGGAAACACGACAGTTTTCGGAACGCTGTATAAGTACCCCTGCATAAGTATTTACACAAAAGAAAATAAATCTAGGATAATTTATTTACCAATAATTTTGAAGAGCTTGGCCACGCTTTACTTTTGACTTGCTTTTGTATTTCGGCATTGTCAAGCTTAGTCTATTCTATGATACGATTATATACAAAACTAAAACTAAAAACGATTTTATTTACGTAAATCAACTTAATTTCTAATATTTATCAACTATTGCTAATGTACGTTTTGTTTACAACAAATCTGTTTTTATAAATTTGAAATATTGTGAACTTTTTAATATATTTTTCAGAAAATAACGCGCGCACAGTCCACCCGTCGCAAGAGTCGAACCGACACTAGTAAATATCCGTAATAGGCCATAGCGGGGGAGCTTCGGGGAGTGGAAAGAGGCCGAATTATGTTTTACTATACTTTAAGAAAAATATTTAACAAAAATACAATAAAAACAATACATTTTTTTATTATGACTTAACAAATATTTCAATACAAATTTAATCTTAAACTGTTGAGCCTTTCTTGAGAAAAAATACAAAATAAGTTTAAAACAGCCTTTGTATTTGATTTTTTTTTTGTAATAATGGTCAAATATTCAAAAATTTTAAACAATAAAAATAAATTTTGATGATCTAAACTATAAAACATAATTTTTTTGTAGCAAACAAACGAAAGGATTTGGCTATAACTTTTTGTAAACCTGGGCGTTTTTCACGATTCGAGCAATGTAACAGCCTTAATCATATGGGATGAATGTACGATGGCCCACCGAAAAGGAGTAGAAGCGGTAGACAGAACTTTAAGGGATATAAGACAAAATGATCGACCAATGGGCGGTATCACGGTTTTATTTTGTAGTGATTTCCGACAAACCTTACAGGTAAAAAACCACGGGGAACCCGAGGTGATGAGTTAGGGCTTGCCTAAAAAGCTCTTATTTGTGGCATGATATACAATCGGTACATTTGACTATAAACATGCGAGTGAGAACTGGAGATAACCCGGATGATCGTCAATTTTCTGATAAATTATTAAAAATTGGGGAAGGTACCTATCCACAACTACACCAAGGAAAACTTTTTCTGACGCCTGAGTTATGTTGTATAGTGCAATCCCAACCACATCTTATATCGTCGGTTTACGGTGACGTAACAATTTTATTAAATAGGGACAATTTTTGGCTATGCGAAAGATCCATTTTAACTCCTCGCAATGACCAGGCATCTGAGATTAATAACAAAATACTGCCGAATATATTCAATTCAATAGTTCAATAAATAGAATGGTCGATGAACAAGAAGCCACTAATTACCCGATAGAATTTTTAAATTCTTTAAATATGCCCGGACTTTCTTCTCATGAAATTTGTTTAAAAATTGGCATTCCGATTATTCTGCTCCAAAATTTAAGACCTCCACAACTTTGCAATGGAACTCGGCTAAAAGTAACCCAGTTGCAACAAAATATAATCGAGGCTCAAATTTTAACAGGTTGCGGTGCAGGAGAAACCGTCTTTATTCCCAGAATTCCCATAATACCAAATGATTTTCCATTCCAATTTAAAAGAACGCAATTGCCAGTATCATTGTGTTATGCAATGACAATTAATAAGGCTCAAGGGCAGACTTTTCGTGTTGCTGGAGTAGATCTCGGTGTCAGTTGTTTCTCGCATGGTCAGTTGTACGTCGCTCTTTCCCGGGTTAGCAGTTCTAGAAATCTTTATGTTCACGTGTCGGACGGGTCAACTTTCAACATAGTTTACCCGGAAGCTTTGCGCTGAAGTATTTTTGTTCTATAAGTACTTAAACCTCATGTGATCGTGATCTAAACAATATTACCAATATATTAACTTAATAACACACAAGGAGTTACACTCCATCCAAAGCCCAGCGACACCATAACATATATAGGAATGACGTCTTAGCAAAAGTTGTTTAGTCTGATGGGCATTTCCTGTTGACTTACAAAAATGAAAGATCTAGAACGTCTCGAATCGTCTCGCGAATCACGTTGTTTTCCCGTCCCCGGGCTCTTCGAATTCAACATCAGACGTTTCAGATCTTCGATTTTGACGACCCCGTTGTCGCTGGCAACAGGATCCGCGTACGAAGTCGCGGGCAGAAGCTAGTACTTAATAAAATATTGCTTTATAATGTTATCATTTTTTTATTTAACTTGCTCACAATTAAAACAAACTGTCACACTCCAGAGGAGTAGAAAATACGGGTTTCCTATTGGCTGTATCACACACTATCTTGTATCATCGTGAAATTCAAAATCAGGCGTATCGTATCAAGTATTTTCGGACGCACAGTCGTGCCATAAACCACGCCGCTTACGATACTGTATTTTGTTAGCGTGTCACCGACTATGGAGTGTAGAGTAGAGGGAGGACCATCTCTGTATATGAAAAGTGTCCCTAAAAACGCGTCCAATAAGGGTGGCGCTGCAGTAGCATAGGATAAATTAAAAAAAAGTGCCAAAATAATAGATTAATTAGAATAAGATGGAGAAATAAACAAGGACCGACCAATCCGCTTGGTTTTGTACTACGTAAATAGTTGAGGTTTTGTATACTGGCATTTTACTAAGTACTCTAGTCATGAAATTTTTTAAATATTTGAATTCAGCTGACTTCACTCCGTCTACAACAGCTATATTCATATCGTAGTTCAGACGCCAGCGCCATTGTTGTAGGTTTTGGAACCTCTACTTTCAGTATATAGTGGGACACTTTGTCAACTTTCGCATCTTATAAGATGGTTCTCCTTCTACTCTACACTCCATATCACCGACGTATGTCGTTATGTGTAGACGTTCAAATCCTACGATCCTCGTATCCAAATTTGTATTGGCAATGCGTATCCTCTTTGATGATCGGGAAAAAACCGCGTAAAAACCGTGTAACATGATCGCGTATCATTTAGCATCCGCACTAACGAAAATGATACACGTCGATGCCACGCGTCGGAGACCTGATTCACTGTGGATACACTAAAATGATGCAAGTGACCCAGTGACACAAGGGACCCAGCTCCACACTTGTATCATTTTAATGTATCTATAAAATATCTTCGCATACATGCTCGTCGTTTAAAGGTCCTTTTAATTTGGCTCATATTCCTCATATCGCCAATCCACGACTTTTTCTGTCACCAGGGCGGCGCCACTTAAAAAGGAGCAGGGAATTTAATTTATAGAAATTTATAGCGGGGAAGTTAATTTGTTCGAAAAATGTATTAATGTTTTTTTCTGTACGTACTACCTATTAGTTATATTTTATATTAATTAAAAACAATTAAGCTAAACCACAGATATTCATAAAATAAAAAAAGGAGTTCAAAATGTGTAAAAATTAAAGAGCAAAGCACCGAGGCATTGTTTTATATTTTTTTTATTTATTTGCTTTTTAAGTGAAACATACAGTACAATAATAAATTACACAATAAAACATATAAAAGTGTAGTGTTTTGGATATTGAATAAACAACACTTACTTCTTAACTCCACAACGTTTATTTTGTCACACACAATGTTTTATACTGTTTATAATTTACAAGGCCCACAAACACAAGCAAGTATTATATATTAAGGCGTGAGATAGTAACACAGCACAGAAGTATACAGTAAGCAAGTTATTAGAATAGGAAGAAGAAAATTAGCGTAACAGTACAGCGTAATATAATTTTTACAAGCGCAAGCGACACGGATTCACTGCGGAAGTCTGCGGTCAACTAAAGGACGGCCGACGACGTACGCGCAAGTTCCTTTGTTCTAATTATTTACCTGGAGCGTTAGAAGACATTTATACGATACGATTTTTACGTCGTTGGCCTTCCGACATATCAACAACTAGTAAGCGTTTTATATAACATTGTGCACGTATTGTATTACATTTATTTATATACTACATACTGTTTATTTATACATTTTAATTTATACATATACTTATTATTTATAAAAATTAATATTTAATACAAAACTAAACAAAATTTATTTTTACAGATAATATCGCAGTCCACCACACCACTCCCCCCCAGAGACCGTCCTACGGGCGATAATATTCCGGGGCCAGTACTACTCGCCCAAAACGCGTTTGTTTAATATTTGAGTCTCCTTCAGGTAATGAAACTTCCGGCGGAGTGGGATTACTGTCAACGAGTAGATAAGCTGGTTTTAATCTATCTATTGACACTGTTGTTGCTTTACCGTTTAAAAGAATTTTAAAAACCTTATCAGTTCTGTCAAGCACTTT